GTATCGATATAAGACCTGAATGATGAAAAATTATCATTATAGGACCTGAATGATTTAAAATTATCGATCTAAGGCCTAAGTTTTCATGAATTTTATTAATTTTTTTATTTTGAAAATTTTAAATATCATTTAGTTTTATTAAACTAATAAACTTTTGTAAAGACAAGTTTATCGAAAACTAGCAATGGAATTAATAAAAAATTAAATAAATCAAAACCTATGAAATGTTAGGTCTTAGATTGATAGTTTTCCATCATTCGATTCATATACCGATACATATAATCTTTCAGGTCCCGGATTGAGAATTCATCTATTTTCGGATCCTGAATTGATAAAATTCCTAAAATGAAATGTGACATTAATGTGGGTTCTCAAGGACAACAAAAGTATACTCCGTACTTCATTTCAACAAATATCATTAATACGTTTACATGTTTGTGCTTTAATGAGCATAAACAAAAATTGAGAGAAAATTGAATAATGTTACTCCGTACAAAAACTGAGAGAAAATTGAATAATGTTACTCCGTACGATTTATTTATTTGGTTCAAAAAGTTGAATGCCCAACCCCAAGGCCCCCACCCCGATCCGACATGATGGTGGGAAGGTTAATCACGGTGACTCAATCAAAAAAACGGCGGTAGGCCTTATACACGTGCACACTAGAGGTCCAATCTTATTTCAGGTTCTGTAACCTCCACACGGCCGCTGCGAGTTTCGAACCTTGATCACTTGGTCCAATTTTCCCATCACTCGACCAACTGAGCTACCCATGGGGGTACAATTTATTTATTTGAAACCTTTTTAACGAGTTAAAATTATTGCTATAAATTTTCTAGTACGAAGCAGTATCTTTAATCTTTATTAAGTGTCAAAAATATGAGTTTTTTTTATTTCAATACTTTTAGGGGTCGTTTGGTTTAGGGAATACCGGATTATCACGGGAAATGTCAGAATGCTGAGTACGTTAGATTGATGGGAATGTATCCAATTTATTTCATTTTATGTTTGGTTAACACTAGTTTTTCACCCGTGCGATTCACGGAGTGAGAGTATTTATAAGATGAAAAAGTGAAAATTTACTCTCTTCGTGGTTTTGATTCCTACCCGCTTGGCCGCTTGGCCGGTAGTATATTATATATATCTAATAACAGTTTTTTTACAAAAAAAATGCCCCCCTAAATTTGGTGCCCTAAGCAGTGGCCTAGGTGCCTGGCTCCTAAAGCCGGTACTGGTTATGGATCACAAATTCTTTACTATAAAAGAAAGAAAATACTACATCCGTTCCATAAAATTCTTTCCACTTTGACTTGACACGGAGATTAAGAAAGTGGAAATGTATGGTTGTGGTTGTGTAAGAAAAGAGTGAAATGAATGTGAACCAAACAAATTGTCCAAAAATGGTAAGTGGAAAGAATTTTTTGGGACGGACCAAAAAGGAAAGTGGAAAGAATTTTATGGGACGAAGGTAGTATATATATTGGGAGAGATAATAAGAAGTCTTTTAAGTTATATTGAGATAGAGGAAATACACGATATCATCAAAAAGTAAAATGTGATAGTAATATACCCATACCTTGTACATGAGAAATAAATTTTAAATCATTTACTATGCACGAAACAAAATATAATAAAAAAAATATTGTATTATTTGTTTCATTAACAATAACAACAAAGTTTCGTAAAATTACAATGTACGGATTATAAAGGAAAGAGAGAATATAGTTATATACTTCGTCACAATTTGTTTTGCAAAGTCAACATTTTTTGGTCTACCAATAATAAAAGTCAATGCTCCTTATTGATAATTAATTTAAAAATTATAATTTACATATTCAGAAACTAGATTAAAATCTCTTCAAAGTTGTAAACTCCAAATTAGAATATAATTATAAATTGACATCCTAATTAAGCGAATAAAATGAAATTGTTTGACAAAAAAATTCAAGGGAAAACTGTCAAATAGGTCCTCGAACTTTCATAAAAAGGTCAATTAAGTCCGTCTATAGGAGGTTCTGTCCGGCCGTCATGATTTGGGGTGGTTCCCGGTGGAATTGTTTTATGAAATTTTTTGAGCATCTTATTCATCAAGTCTAGTTTACTCATACCAAATTTCAGCTAAAAATTCAATCAGGAACTCATTCAAATTAATTCTTGAAGATAACTGCGCATTTTTGCGTTCTCGAATTAATTTTAATGCGCTACCGATTAAATGCTTAGCTGAAATTTGGTATGAGTAAACTAGACTTGATGAATAAGAGGCTCAAAAAATTTCATCAAAAAATTGCACCGGGAACCGCCCCAAATCGCGACGACCGGACAGAGTCTCCTATAGAAGGACTTAATTGACCTTTTAATGAAAGTTCGAGGACCTATTTGACAGTTTTCCCAATTTATAATCATTTGCATTGATTACAGAAACCAACATCTTAGTTCTTGGATGGATGTCCATAGCAAAGATGAAGAGTAAGCTTTAATATATTTGGTAATTGAATGTTTTAGAGGAACTAACCTGATAGAGAGCAGGAAGAGCATGGGATGGGACCGGGCTTGGGCCCACTTCCGTGGGCCGGGTTAGAGATGTCGTTATAGTTTAATTATTATTATTAAGTTAATGTTATGTTTTAGTTTGGGCCTATTATTAGTAGAGTAGTTAGTTGAGTTAATTTGGGCTTAATTAGAGTTTAATTAATTTGGGCTTGATTAGGGTTTCTTGTAGAAGGCTATATACCCCTCGCCAGGGTTCATTCCGATTATCTTGGAATAAAGTTAGAGTTTAGCCTTTTGGCTTTGGACAACGGTATTTTTATCGTTGATTATATCCCGTTGATTTCTATTTTTCTGCTACACATCAATTGGTCCGACCTGCCGGATCCCGTCCCGCCAGGATGATGAGATCTCAAAATGATTGATTGACAGAGTTAGAGACCGAGCAACACCGAATGGGAGAGGAGCAAGCCCGATTAAGGGAAGAGCAAACCCGAATGACGATTGAACAGAATCGGATGAATCACACCCTCAAAGAACACGGCATGCGGCTGGCTGAAATCCCCGCCTCTCTGGCGGCGCTAACCCAGGCCCTTGTGCCGCCGATCTCACCGGAAATTTCTACTGCTGCGGTCGGAAGTGCTGCCGTGACAGCACCCATCGCCGACATCTCGGTCGGAAGGCTTAGTTCACCAACACACCCTCTCCAAAGTTCAAAGGGGTTAGACAGTGACATGGACAAACATGGATTGAAGTGATATACAAAGAGCAGTGGAGATGAAAGTTTAAAAAGGCACAACATCATTTTGTTAAAGGAGAATAAGCTGTCAAAATATGGAAATCAGAAATTGAGCTATAGATCAAAACACAAAAAACAGAGTTTTTTTCATATTAATTATCAACCTTGTATATTAGTTGCACCTTGAAGGCTTGAACTACATCAAGAATCGGTTTGAGAAGTTTTATTTAGGATTCCTCCATTTATTTCATACCTGAATATAGAAGAAATACAGAGAGCTTGGGAAGTTTTATGCCATATATAGCTACTAATTTAATATGAAAGTTAAAGTAATGGTTAGAAAACCCAAAAATCCACAACAGACACAAACTCTAGAAAACTAATATAAAAATAGGTTAGCAGTTTTGATCTTCTTCTCACCAAAATTCACTCTCTTTCTATCATGGTTAAGTTCAAGCAGTCCTATTTCTTCAATTAAACTTGATCTCTGCTGATCACGTAAAAAAGGATCATAAAGTAATCTTCTTGAGAATCCTAATGATAAATATTACTATGTAGAATTTAATAATTTTATTATTAATCATTAAAATACAGGTAGTTTAATTGCAATATGACAAATATAGATTGCTAATCTTTCTATGAAATACTCACTTACTGTAACCGCTTTCAGCGCACAGGAAAAGACATTGGCATACTTCCTCCTTCGCACTTCGCTATAAAAGAGTGAACAAACATTGATCCCTAATCTTTCTCCCAACTGTTCACCTATGCTTACCTCTTTCAGTAAACATGAAAAGACCTTGAAATAGATTATTAAAAGACTACAAAAAACGTATCCATTGTTATCCATTTCTAATGAATAAAAGAAATATAACCATTGTACCAAGAGGTAGTTGATTAAGGAATTTAAACAAACACCTTCCACACAAAATATTTAATCACAGTGAATGTCAATGTGGCACATTTACAAACACCTAGTATTACAATAAATGCCATGTCAGAAGTCGATTGATGATCAAACCTATTTCATATAGTGAAACTGCTCTCTGAAATTCACTGCACTTAATTGACAATTACACCTATTCTACTGTGAAAGTGTTGTCTCAAATTGCCCAAAAAGAGTAAATCATGCAATAACCATTAGGGGAGTTATAATGACATAGTTGAGGTTCTCAAGTCTCACCAAAATGGGTCTTCATCTAATTAGAAATGGAAAGATTTCCTAATTTATATGGATCAAATTTTAATGAAATTAATTGGGTGGGGATCAGAATAAAAACCCCTAACATATAACTATATAAGACTACCTATATCAAAGTTTCCTCTATTCATTTATTTGCATGAACAATTCAATAACTAAAAAAGAGTTGGTATATGAGCCTGACATTCTGCTTTTTAAACTTTTTAGATCATGTAGCAGCCTTCCTTGTTGCGTGTGATAAATGATTAAATTGGTGATGATGAATTCACCTAGAAAAGGAAACAGGAACATTACCTGTGCGCGTAGTTCAACCGGTAGGAAAGGAGTGTCACAAGGGTTAGGTCCCAGATTCGAATCCCGGTAACTGCGACGAGGGGTTACTACGCTAAAAAATGCATAGGGCCTTTGCAAGTATCGGGGACAGAGCCCCACTCTCTATCTATCAGATTGGGATTATAGTCCAACTTACATCCTCCCAACATACCGTCCGATCGGGGTTAGGGGCCCTCACCGATGCGGTGTCATCCTTTTTTAGGAAACAGGAACATCATCACATGTACGGGTAGGTTTGGTGAACTTATTAGCGCATGTGGGCCGCTTTTCTTGCATCTTCAATGCAAACCCTCTATATGCGGTATCCGAATCTGAAGCCACACATTCGATCAATTACTCGTCAACACAAAATGAAGACTTGGATTCCATTCTTATTATTCCTGCTTTCCTCCTTTCATGGGGAGGCCGCAGTTAGGACCGTACTCGACGTCCACGGGAACGGCGTCCAAAGTGGCGTCAAGTATTACGTCGTCCCGGTGAACAAGACTCAAGGCGGCGGGCTTGATCTGCTGCCCCCATCTACTACATGCTATAGGAATGTCGTCGCAGTGCCCACCAAACTGTTAGCGAACGCTGCGTCCTTCTTCCCGGCGGTGGCGCCGAAGAACGGCGTCGTCGTGAACGGAACGGATCTCAACGTCGAGATATTCCCCAGCGGCGCAAACGCCGGCAACTGCTCCAATGTCTGGACAATCTCCGGCTCTGATCCTGAAAACATCGACATGGATCAATACGTCTTGAGCGGCGGAGTGAAGGGGAACCCGGGCAGCACGACGGCGGTCAACTGGTTCATGATTGTGAAGTCGGTCAACGGGTACAAGTTTATGTTTTGCCCGGTGTCCTTGTGCGACTGCAGCCCGGTGTGCCAAGATGTTGGCATATTCGTCGACAAAGCGGGAAACAGGCTTCTCAAAGTTCAGAGTAGCTTACCCCATTTGGAGGTGAACTTCATAAAGGCCTAGCTAGCTACCTGCAAGCTAGCGTGGCGTTCATTCATCATAAATAATCTTATGGAACTGGATGCTTCATTTATGCATTTTTATATGCTAATAAAATAAAATGTCCAGAAATATGTGTGGGCATTTAAAATTTCTCGACTAAGTCTGATCATTATTGAAACTCTTTTGAAAACCGTCGGGCTATTCTCAATCATATTGAACCTCTTTCAAGTGTTATTGGATTAACGTTGAATTCTATTGGATCGCTCATGATAATCGTTGGACCTTGTCAAAAGGAAAGAATTAATATAGGTCCGTTCAAATATATTTAGTTATTAAATTAATTTGGGTCCTTTAAAATGTCCATATAATTTAATTATAAATTAAACCTTTCAAAGAATGGATTGGTCCTATTAATTTCTCTATTTTGAGCTCATTATCAAATAGTTGCTCAATATATAAGACACATGATCATATTGATAGAGAGAGCAACCAATCTGGTTATATAAGAAATAAGTCTATATGCATGAGAAATAACTGCAAACCTTCTTAAGAAAGATGTCTAGATACATCGAACAAGTGCTGATTTTTCTAGCTATTAAACTTCAAACAAATAGAGCCTGGAACCCATTTTAATTGAGACCCAATGGATATGGACGAATTTACCAGACCCTAATGCATATTTCATCCAGTCGAAGAAACGCCGCAGAATAGCACTCTGAAGAACTCCCGAGAGACTCTGAACGATTCCAAAGAAAGGCAAGAGATAAACCCACGAATTTTATTAAGAATACACGAATAATCCTTCGTGATTTCATCGATTCTTGAAAAAATAAGTCCAAAAGTTGAAGAACGTTTGAGGATCTCAAGAACGAATGAAGCTTGAAGATTCGGAGATCCGAAGAACCAGACTTTGAAGATTCGAAGATATGAAGAACACATCTTTGAAGATTTGAAGGCATTCATATGAAGATTGAATCAAAATTCAATTGCAGATCAAGCCATATATCCCGGGAAGCTCTTTAACAGAAGATCAAGCCACAAAACGGCCCTTTTGTTGAAAATCTAGCTACTTGAAAACCGGATGCCCTTTGATAAGACCGTATTTCGACACGCATTTAATGCGTGTTGAGTTCGGATTTTGATGGTTTTTCCTAACTTTAACGGTCATAACTCTCAATTTTAACTCAAGTCATGTTTACCGGGCGTTGGTGCGAGTTTTGGTATTTTGGAGTCAAAATCAGGAGATTTGAGCCCGGCACCGGCGCTTGAGAAGCAATCAGGACAAATTGAGAAGCATTCAAGAGTGAATTGGATGTCACCGGGAGGTTCACAATGAAGATTTGTTGAAGAAAGAGTCTTTGGATCGATCACAGAAGCATCCGGGAGCGTTGGGAGCAAGAAAGAGATGAAAAAGGGCATTTTTAGGGCACGCACGGAAACTCGAATTACCGTAGACGAAATCGTCCTCTTCCGAAGGCTGTCATCGTCGTTGAAATCATCCGCCATCGTTGACGATCGAAACAATGATTACAGTATCGACGACATCCTAAGCGACATTTTCCAGATCAACCAATAAGGATGAAGCTTTCTTCTGTTTTCTATAAATAAGGCCTCCAATTTAGAGAGGGCCTAGGAACGAAATTTCCATTGTTGTTCCGCATTGTTCTTCAATTCCCTGGGATTATTTGTAAGTTCCTACTTTTTAATTGATGACAATTAATTCTGTTCTTCCCAATTCTATCGATTATTCAATTATGAGTTGTGAGTAGTTTTAACTAGGGATTTGTGATTGATAAAGGGGTGAATTATGATGTATGGTTGAATTTATGATGGATTAATTGCATGAATGTTATTTAATTTGTGTTTGAATGATTTATTTAATATCTTTTGTAACCTAGCTAGAATTGCAGCTAGGATTATAATTATTATAGAATAAATTAAGAAAAATCTATTTTATTCTAGGACATCTTCACACATACTTAATCGTTCGCTAAGAGATTTGTAACGATTAAGGGGCCTTACATTCGCTCGTTCTGACAATAATTTTAGGTACCTGTCGCATGAGAGATCAGTCTGGTTCCCTAAATTATTGTACTCTACGCCGCGAGAGCGGTTATTACTTAGTATTGACTAGCGTTGCTCAATTAAATTAATTCTATGTGATTAAGCGTGATCGGTCAGAAATTTGGTTACACCAGAATCAATCCTTGTTCCTTTCGTCCTTCGTCGTTAATCAGAGAGAAGCTATTTATTTTTATTCGTTGGCCTGCATTTTAATTTTCCAAACCAACCAATCTCGCACAATCGCATTTATTTTATTTCTTTTTAATCTCTGAATTTATTTAGTTCTTAAATTCAGAGAATTTTTCGAACCAACCAATCTCGCACAATCACATTTATTTTATTTCTTTTTAATCTCTTGATAACATGCCGACCGGGTTAAAAAAAATCTTAATTCCCTTTTTACCGTCTCTGTGGAGACGATACTCAGCTCGTACTTATACCCTTTACTACAATCTATATTTTAGTGCGAGAAAACTAACATCACCCTTCAAGCTAAATTCTTCATTCAAGAAGATTTGTAGATCCAAAGAACGAATATTCGAAGATTCAAATATCTCAAGAATGAAGATCCGAAGATTTGAAGAACGTTCAAATGTTTGAAGGATTAAATATTTAATTTTGAATTAAATTCTTTAATTATATTATTTCAATTTGCAAGTGAAGAATCAGATGATTCATATTTAGAGATTATACCCAATAGTTTCATATACTATTATTTGCGATCAATTTTAAGTACATACTTAAAATTTGTTTCACAATATGTTAATTTTTTATATAAAAGATGGCATTTTTATCCACACGGTTACATGTAATCTTTTTATTCATAAATGTAGGGGTGGCAAAAATACCAAATCGACATGGTACCGAACCAAACCGGTATGGTATCAAACCAAAAATGGGCTTTGAAATAGATCTCAAAATTTTTTGTTCCGAACTGAACAGTACCGGTTCCAAACAATCTATGACCGGTTCTCATAAAGTGAGAACCGGTACCGGATTGAAATATGATTTAATTATTTAACTGTACATTTATATCATTACTTTGATTAGTGCCTTCACACTTTCAGAGCCTTTGCTAGTTCAGTGGAAGCTTGGAACCGGATTGAAATATAGTTTAATTATTTAAATTTGCATTACTATAGTTTATCTAAAATTTATTAATTATGTAATATGAAAATTGATAAATTGTGTGGATTTTTGGAGGGTGGCTAAACTTTAATTTTCTGTTGAACACTTGGAAAAAATGGCATTATTCGGTATTGGTATGACTTGGTAGCGTCCTGTTTGAAAATGGAACCGCACTACACGAGTTCAGGCCTAAGACCAAATTGAACCGTTTGAATAGTCACGATACAAATCCTGATTCAGCTAAATATTGGATCGGACTGGACCGTGTCCACCCCTACATAAATGTTAGTGATAGAGTATATGTGGGCCAAGTCCCACATACTCTTGGACGCATCAACGGACCAAAGCCCATTAAGCTACGAGGGTCATTCAACCAAATACATACACTCTAGAATGAAAAGATATACATGCAGAATGAATTTTGTTAGGGATATTATTCTGTGACGGTCGTCATAAAATCAGTTACTTTTTTTGTCATTGATACTGTGATATTGTTACTAGGACTATTTTATTGTATCTGTGTTTCTTTATTTCAGCTACCAGTTGTTGAAAATCCAGACCGGCTCAGACCTCAATAATCACAGCCCAAAGGCTTGCTCAACATTCATCACCAAGGTTACAATTAGCCTGATTAAGGAAGACAAGGGGCAACAGTCATCTACACTCAGTTTAGGAGACCAAACCCTCAAACCAGACTATCCAGAGAACCCATTGGAGAAGAACCCCCAAACTACCAGACAAAAGTGAAGCCCACAAAAGGATCCCCAAAGTATCACTGGAGGATAGTCGGAGCTCAGATCCAAGATGATACCGACACTCTCTCACTCTAGGACAAGGGTAACACATTAAAGAGCTCATCGATTAGAGAGAGGGAAGGATCGAACAAATAAGGGGTTCTAGAACGAACCACACAATATAAAGGAGAGCCACAATAAGTCAGGGGCTGGGCAAAGACAAGGAGGGGCGCATGGGCTAGGTCGGGTAAACAACCCAATTGAGCCAGGCTCATTTAATAGGAGATCCTCATATTAATGAGGTGGACCAAAGGGTATAGGAGGTGGACCAATACCATATATAGTATGAATACATTTACGCACATGGATGTTCAGCGTGTTCCCGCAAAACAAGAAACTTTTTAAAAATACGGAGTAATATATACTACGGAGAACTATCAAATAAGCCCTCGTACTTTCATAAAAAGTGCATATAAGCTCTTTTATAGGAGGTTTTGTTCGGCCGTCGCCATTTTGGGAAGTTTCCGATGGACTTTTTTGATGAATTTTTTTGAACATCTTCTTCATTAAGTCTAATTTACTCATACCAAATTTTAGCTACACATTCAATCGGGAAGGCAGTCAAATGAATTTTTAAAGATAACTGTGCAGTTAGGCAACGCAGTATATTTCAGAAAATCATTGGACTGCCTTCTCGATTGAATTTTTAGCTGAAATTTGGTATGAATAAACTAGACTTAATGAAGAAGATTCTCAAAAAAAATCATCAAAAAATTCCACCGTAAACTGCCCCAAATGACTACAGCCGGACAAAGCCTTCTGTAAAAGGACTTATTTGCACTTTTTATGAAAGTTCAAGGACTTATTTGATAGTTCTCCCTATTTACTATGTAGTATATTTAAACCAGCTAGAATATTATAGTACCTCCGTCCCGGTGAGTTCTTCCTAAATTGACTTGGCTCGCAAATTTAGATAGTGGGAATAAAGTGGAAATGTATGGTTGTAGTTGTGTAAGAAAAAAATGAATGAATGTGAACCACATATTTTTTCCAAAAGTGGAAGTTGGAAGAATTAATTGGGACAGACCAAAAAGGAAAGTTGGAGGAAATGACCGGGACGGAGGGAGTACTACCTAATACAAATATATACAATTCTATCTATTTAATTCTGAAAAAGAGTATCCTATCCTATCTATCTAAAAAGTTTGAAAGATTAACATATTGTGGACAACCAAAAGAATTCAATAAGGTTATAAGAAATGTTGAGATATCGTGTTTTGAACCATCAATCAAAAAAATCAATAATCCATAGCTACTACATGCATGGACCAAAACTGCCTACTATATAGAATCA